AAATATTTACCAAAATTAGAGAATTGAAAATATCATCACAAAATGAACAAATCTGAGAAGAGGTCCACATGTAGTACCTATATATGTAATATCAAAGCAATCCTTGCGGTTTTTAACAAGAAGTCGAAAATATCACTTTTTACCAAAAATGACAAAAATATTCACCAAAATTAGAGAATTGAAGATATCATCACGAAATGAACAAATCTGAGAGAGGTCCACATGTAGTACCTATATATGTAGTATCAAATCAATTGGACTTGCGGTTTTTAACAAGAAGTCGAAAATATCACTTTTTACCAAAAATGACAAAAATATTCACCAAAATTAGAGAATTGAAAATATCAACATGAAATGAACAAACCTAAGAGAGGTCTACTCAAGGTACATATACACCAAGTATCAAAGCATTCAGGCTTGTAGTTTTCAAGAAGAAGTCGAAAAAGTAAAACATTGACACGGACGACGACGGACAATCACTCATATGATATGTTTCATACAAAAAGATCGATACGCACTACACCGCCGAGTGTAGTAGACATAATCCCGATGGCAATAGAACGTTCGAAGGAAGCTAATACAGTTGATTTATAACAGATGAAGTAAATGGAAATCACTTCAGTCGAGAACACAAACGTATTTAAATGAGTTGGTAAACAAGAGAGATGGCAACTCCACATTGTGGCAGATTTACACACTACTACAGTTCAACTAATGTTTACAAACACCACGGTCAGTCACACAAAGTCACCCAAATACAAATGGGATTTTTAAATGCGCTGGGGAACACGAGACAAACAATTGTGCATACATAGATGACGACTCTACGCTATACGCAGCGTGAAAATGGCAATTTAAACTTTGCTTGCAGATTTTCCCGGAGCACATTTACATAATACTACAGTGCGATAACACTGCCAGTCACACAAAATCCATAAAAAGGGAACTGCAAGTCGTATAATGCCAAAACAGTACTATGATTTCACAACTTTCGAAATACGTTCGCTTTTATCGATGTCCACTGTACACCAGTAAATGTCTTCCCGTTCGCAAGAACACAAAGTCTAAACCTATCAGAAATTCGTACCACATAATTCGAGTGATGGTATAACAAAATAACATTTGTAAATTCAATCCATCGAAAAAATATAAAAATCATTTTAATAAACAATTTTTATTATATAAATACACTTTGAAAAGAAACACGATTCATAAACATTAATCTATTTGAATACATTCTCACTACAAATTACACAATACTTATTTTCTAATGGCGTTTCTTCACACCACAAATTATTGGAATCGTGCACACGTGCAAGTACTTCGATGACACATTTTATAGCTATGCCCAAAATAGTTCATCATGTATTACGTAACTGTGACCACATGACATCATTCTGTTAACATCCACACATTTTCATAAAATCTCCATGCACTTTTTTACCTTTCATAAGTAAAATAGACTACAATTTACTCTAGAAAAACAATTTTCCTGGTATATTTTCTACATTTTTGCATACTAATGAGGGGTTCAGACACATTCAAAGCTAAACAATTTTCTTGGACTAATAACAAAGCTGGTCAATCCTTTCCCAGCAATAAACGAATAAAAATCAGACCACACTGTTGATGACACAAGTATAAAATTTGCACAAGCTTTCAAGTTTCAGAATCAAAACGTGACGTACTGTAATTAATTATTCATTGTGTGCGTTTCCTGGCACCCCGAACAAGCAAGCCAAATAAAAATATCAACCAAGCGTAATGGGAATCTCAAAACTGCAAATATTGACATGAATTTATTTACTTACCCGGTTCGTCGATATAACCTTTTGGATGTACATAAACTTGTACACTGTTTGTGGATAAATGTGATTGGTCTCTCTTTCCTTTAAATATCACCACTGGTTTCAGCTTCGTCCTATCAGCAGCAGCTATCAATACCACGGTGAAACGCTTTTTTTGTTTCCTGTAGTCTTAATGTGAATTGTTGATGCTCCGATGTGTACGGTTTCAAAGCATGGCAAACCGTAAAGGGGTTTCGTCCATATTAAAAATATTGAACAGCAGATGATCAAGTTGTTGCCGAAGTCTGATGACAAATCTATGGAAAAACATGATTTTTTCTTCAAAATCGGGTGGGAATTTCTGTCTTCTTGTTCTTTGACGACTTGATAGACAGCAGAACCATTAATCTGATGCTTTAAAAGTCTGGTCTGCAGACGTTTGTAGAGTTTGGCCTTGTAGCTGTCTACTGGTCACGCTATTACCATTCTTGCGCTGATTATCAAACCATGCCATCAAACTGTCATCTGCTTCCTTGCTGTTTACCAATCTACTTCCACCCACAAGACGCTTCACTGACTTTGATCTGACAGCAAGTTTGTCCTTTTGTTTCAACTTGCTATTCATTCAAGCCATAACGTTCAGCAGTTTTTTGGTTGTTTCCCCATTCAAGAGCAGTGAATACAACTTTTAGCTTATGGAAACTTTGTAGGCTACACAACGCCGACAATGAGTAGGTCGAATGGTATCTTTAAGCATAATTATAACTTGGTAGAAAATAGCAATGATATAATAAACTTGGGATAATAAGCGAATAATGTATGCAGGTTAAATAACAGGAGACAAGTGAAGTTTCTCTAAAAACAAATGTGATCTTTATTTGGTATTTTTGCATATCATTATCACATATAAGAATAGAATTAACCTTAAATCTGAAGCCAGAATTGGGGATGCGGTTACATAGTATATTTTATTTGACACAAAATAATGCATGGGAAATACATCATCTATGGCCAATATACATTACTTTATAAACAAATAAACAAACACTGTAAAAATATAAAATAAATGTTAGAAAAATGTTAAATATTAAAAGTTTTCTGTTAAAATATCATATGTGGTTTATACTATGACTTTTATGGTAGTATCTTTTGCTTAGTGATTTGACTAAACTTTGTACTTGGGCAGTTTCCAGTACTTGTATACTGTGTTTTCCAGCATAAATATTGTATTATTCGAAAACATAAAAATGTAATGTGACATTCGTTCATTAAAGAACTGAAGATATCATTAGAAAATGAACAAATTTGAAAGAGGTCTATCTGAGGTACATGTACCTACATGTATAACATCAAAGCAATTGGATTTGCGTTTTTTAACAAGAAGTCGAAAATTGCACTTTTTACCAAAAGAAATCCAAAGCAAAGGAAACACCTGAGGTTGGTGAGTTGCCAGCTGAATGTATCATGGACACTAAGGATTATACTGGTAGTCTTCTCAAGAGAAGGAATAAAAAGAACAAACGCAAGTCAGAGACTGATTGTAATTTGATTGAATTGCAGATGAAGCGAATGCACACGAAAATACTGATGTCGCCGAAGAAACAGGAGTTGTGACTGACCAACATCTTACATTGTGAAATTAAATGTATTTGGGGGTAAAATATAAAACTATAAGTGAGGGAAGAAAGAAAGAAACTGGTAACAGCTAGTGGTTCAATTTTGTAGTTTACATTTAGTACAGTACATGATAAAGTTGGAGAGTCCTATGCCCCATATTGACTTCAGAAGAGGGCACAAAAACTTATCAAATGGTTACTTACAAGGCGAGTTGGCATAACCATTACATACAGGCCGAAGTGGGTGGGCGGTCCCACTAATGTTACTACATTACCATTGATTAATAAGAAACCTCTCGTTTCGATTTAAATTAATAATTTATAAATATTTATAAAAAAAAAAAAAAAGTCGGTTTGTGAACGGAAAATGTATGGAACTAATGAACGCATTTACAAAAGGGGTTTGACGAGTGTAGGGAAAACCTGCAAAAAAAGTTTGTCAGAGCTAAGACATCATGATAGAGGAATGTTGCATAAATTAGCAAGTCTATATCTGACCCACGAGTCTGCGTTCACCAAGACTTCGCCTCGTAAAAATAATACAAATCCGTATCACGTAAAACATGTGAATAGAATATGGCTCAATTACTTGGATAAATTTAGAACATACTTATAAAATGTAACCAACCTTGCTTTTGGTTCAGTCTAATTCGATTATCTCTGTACGTCTTGTTAAAAGTGTGGCGATGCCATGTTGATTCAGAAGCGTCTTGGCCATAGTTCCATTTCTTGTTAAGAACATCGCGTAAATCCTTGTCCTTCTTCTTCTTATAATAGTTTGTATATTTCCTGTTCATTGTGTAGCTTAGAAACACACGTTTTTATGATTTATACATCGAATTTCTTCACATATATTCATAAATCATCTCACTGTATCACAAATTGTACTTCATCACGTTTCGGAATGTCCACATGTGACGTCGCGCGAGAGCCATTCAAGACAGCAAACAGGCTGCCCTCAACGGCAATTTTTGATATACAAGTGCGTCTGAAGATTTATGCAGTATAAAAATACGGCAAATTTTGTAAAAACGTGCAGTTACGATTAGAAATGCAAACTTAGTAATTTGTAATGAACTATTATTCATTTGAAAGAGGATAAGTTGCTAGCAAGTTCCGGGAGTAAGTTTGTCGGAATCAAAAAATAGGCAGCCATATTGAAAATGAGACGCCCAGTATATTGGAGTAAACAAATAACGCATATCAAAAGGAGGAAAGTAAACACGTCGTACGTCATTACTATCGTCTTCGCTTCTCTGGACTTTCGTCGATTCCTCCCAAAATATAACATTTCTGTTGCTATAATGCGATTATCGAGTGAAAATAGCTTTTTGAGTTTCTGAAAATGTTTAATAAGTTTGCTGCTGTGTTGCACCAAGCTGTTGAAGCGGTAAGTTTCCCGAATGCCATTGGCAATGTCTCGTATTATCAACAATCACTGTGATCAGCTGTGGCACAGCCGGTCTGCGACTGTCGGGTGCCAAGTAAATCGCATTGTTTTCTATACATTTTTTACGCCGCGCAGTTCATAGATTAACTCAGTTCAAACATTCTTTTCGTACAGTTCATTATGTTTCAGTCTCTTGACATTCGATATCAACCATTTCCTTTTCCATTGATACCCCCCTCTTTTATGTAATGTGGCATGGAGCTGGCATTGAATATTTCATAATATTTATTGAGTTTAACAATAGAATCGTAGTTACTAACTTACTTGAGCGTATCACAAGTATCCTGGGTAGTATAATATATACATGTATGTCTGTATTATCAACATAGTATATAACTGAAATTATGTTGACCTGACCTGTATTATGTAAATCATCTGACACCCAGGCATTGATTACTGGAGATAAAAACATGTGACTGGGTTCCTAGCAAATACCATGGCATCGTGGTGTTTCATGAATTAAAACAATGATACGTCATTTGTATTGTGTTCTTTTTGTTACTTGCAAAGTTGCATTTTGTTCTCTATTTTCACAAGCTAGTTATGTTGAATTTAAAAATATATTCTTGCAATGACTGAATATATGTATATTTCAACAGCTTGCTCCAACGCTGTCACTGCAAGAAGATTTTGTTTATCACTGGAAAGCTGTCACTCATTATTTCATAGATAACAAAGGTGGGTTTCTTTGTTGTTTCTGTAGCTGTGACCGTGTCATATGGTGAAAGTTGACCCCTTAATTACAATAAATCTGTAACAGTGTCATGCTTTTGATTCTATACAACCTGGTATATTTAACTCTCTTTTGAATGGGCTAACTCATGCACAAATAGTTTGTATGTTGATACTATGCATGGTATGCAGGTTGGTGAAATGTCTATGATATCCAGACTGCTAATTATGTTCCTG